GCAAATACCACTCACGTATCATCACGAAATCTCCACAACCATAAAGCCTACAAACTTTAAATTTGGCATGTATGTTCCTCTTGGCTTCTAGGTGCTCGCTAAGAAAGGATTTGTCGAAATGACCATCACATCATTAGTATTTCTTATACAGTATTATATTAACACACTCTGATGCTAAGAAGGTAGGAATTCTACTCCCCCTCCCCACCTGAAAATAGCTCTGTTCCAACTGCCAGTTGCAACTGGGTGCTGGTGGGATTAAAGGGCTCAAGCCTATCTATTTTATTGTTGTTAGTTTTACAATAATGTCTTAATCTGTAGCAGAAACTTAGCTTAACGTCTCTAACAAAATAATACAGTGCCTTTTTAAATGACTCATTAATTTTCAAGCTTTATATGTCAATTTATCAAGCCCGACCATAAATTTATATTTATATTTATATATTTACTGTATCAGTTTTTTGGAAAATATCAAGGAACAGTGGTTGGAAGCCAAACTGTAAAATATGTATGTGTGTGTGTGCACACTCATACACAAACACACACACACACTTTAGAGTTTGGCTTCTTATCATTGTCCCTTGATATTTTCTGAAAAACTGACAAAGGAAATTACGCAAACAATGTTACCTCTGGATGATTTTCATTTTCTGTTCATGGTTCCCTTCATCCATTAAGGAAACCCACTGATCACAGAGCTCAGATGAGAAGATGCTTCCTGGGATGTTGCGAAGGAAATCCTTATTGAAAGGGAAGAGAAACATATACATGAGCAATCATTTCAAAATATACATTAAAAAAAGTTTGAGAGTCTACCTGTTCTATTAATTAATTAGAACGGAGCCTAGAATTATATGCAGAACGAAGCCTTTCACTGAATTCCAAAGAGAGGTTTCAAATCAAATATTTGGAGGATTCTATGATTAGGAAGATCAATGGGTTACAGAAACATCTCAGCACTAGATTAATACCCATGTTGCGTGTGCTAAGTCTCCGAATTGTTTGTTAATGTTTTAAATCCCAATTTCAGGTAGTAGGGTAACTTAGAGTAGTAGTAGGGTAGTAGTAGGGTAGTAGGGTAGCTCCATAACTTCTTTATGGAGTTGTTCACAGGTTCCTTGAATTAATCTGCAGAGTTCTACATTATTATTTTTTTCAAAGGAACAAGATAATATCTTCATATCCAGAGATAGGCAATTCCAATGGTCAACTAATTGTTACACAGAGTGAAAGAGAGTCCCATCTACCTTAAACACAGAGGCTATCACAAATACGGATTCGCAAAGTAGGTGTACATCTTCACCCGAGTCAAGCTTCTCTTTCAGCTCCCTGCAGGATTTTGCATTTGCTGAACGTCTGAAAATACCCCGAGTAAAAGGTCCCTCTTGATAGAGAAAGCAAAGCATATCCTATAAAAGAAATATGTAATAAGTACATGAAACATAAATTGCCAAGTGATTTTAGCAGATACCATATTCTGAAAAAGCATCTAACAACAACAGTTTTCTCTTTCTTCACTAGCCTATTCACATAGAGAAGGTTTCGGCAGTGTCCTTTCCCCAAACTGCCTCTCTCAAGTTGGCCTTCAGCAGAAGACTCAACAATTGAGATATTTGGGGGTGGGGGGAACATTCAAGATTGCTGTTATGCTTGCAGTGAGGACACAATTGCAGTTTTGCCTGTGCCCCAGTATGGAGAAATATGGATCAGACAAGAATAATCAATTTCACATTAGGGCTTTTGAGTGCTGAATCTAGCTGAACAAAAAAAATAATCAGATTTTTTGAGAAAAAAAGTTTTGAAATTATATTATTTATCAGAAAAATGGCAAAAAGCTTGAAAATTGTAGTATAGTTTACGTAACAGATTTTCCCTTTTACATAAGTAGACTCATCAACTCTTTATAACCTCCCCCCTCCCCAAAACACTAGCTGAGGTTGATCTTGCAACACTGCAACACTCTCATAATTCCACAATTATGGAATAATCAGTAGAAGTTTGGCAGAACTTATGAAAGGCTTAGTCACCTTGTTGTTAGTTGCGAAGTCATGTCAGACCCATCGCGACCGCATGGACGACATTCCTCCAGGCCTTCGTGTCCTCTACCATCTTCTGGAATCTATTTAAGCTCCCGCCCACTGCTTCAGTGACTCCATCCAGCCACCTCATTCTCTGCCATCCCCTTCTTCTTTTGCCCTCGATCTTTCCCAGCATTAGGCTCTTCTCCACTGAGTCCTTAGTACTCATTAGGTAGGGAAAGTATTTGAGTTTCATCTTCAGGACCTGGCCTTCTAAAGAGCAGTCAGGGTTGATCTCCTCTAGGGCTGACCTCTAGGACTGACCTTAGTCAACTCCTAACCAATTGGTATGGTCTCCTCCTGCATTCTCATCCCACATATTTTTATCTTCCCAGTTTAGCCCAGGCAACTACAACCTTGAGCCTTCACAGATAATGAAATATGATTTCTCTTGATCTTGACACTACATTTCTGTTCATGATGCCTAGGATTGCATTTGCTGTTATTAGGGGTTTTTTTGTACCCACGTTGCATGATGTCATTTGCCCTATATCAATATCAATTGGTCTGAGAGGAGTTCTTTTTTTCCCCACCTCTTTTTTTGATGATAGGAACATTTATCCTTCTCTAGTTGTTTGGTATTACCCCATTCTTCCAGGACTTCTCAAAGATCATAGAAGGTTCTTAGTTGTAATTTCCATTCCATCTGGTCTTAAAAACTAAATTGATTCACGGTGACCAGATGTTCCTCAAGCCTCTTTTAGGTTCTCACTCCTTACAAGCATCAATCCTGCTTAAATTCATTTCAGAAAACTTCCTCTTTCAGGACAATGCCAAAGCAAGGTAGGAGTTAAGAAGCTCTGCCTTTTCATTGTCACCTGTAACTATATTTTAAAAATGTGGTCTCTTCTTCCATTTTCTTTCTTACTACTATTGACAAAGCCAAAGTACATTTTTGTTACTCTTCAGCTTCCTTTGCAATCCCAATTTCCTTTTGCACTTCAGCCTTTCTGTCTGTGAATATTGGCTATCTGCTCTTATACCAATTTTCCATTTCCTGTATATGTCCCTTTCAACTCTTAGCTCACTCAAAAATTCCCTAGGCACCCACAATTTTCAAAGTTGTCCCATTTTTCCTTCATCGGAACGGATACAATTGCACTTCCTGTTATCTTATTTTTCGAAAATTTCTAACCTAAACCTCCTTACGCTTCCTTTGACCTGGACCATGGATTTATCTCCATGACATCTTCTGTAGTTCCTTTATATGCTTCTTGAAATTGACTCTAATTCTAATGCACATTCTATCCCATTCTCCAGCTTCTCTTTCTGGGATATTTTGAATGTCAAGGTGTCATGAACTCCTGAAGTTCTCACTACGTTTACTTCTTTGACCAATTCTTCCTTAGGATTAACATTAGATTGATACCATAAGAACCAATTTCCTTATTTCTTCTTCAACCTTCCTCAGCAAGACCACTGAGGAATTTGGGAGACCTTACATTCTTGTCCAAGCTGTATTTCCAACAGATGTCTTGATAGTTGAAGTCTCCCATTATTACCATGTACAATATCTCTCCTTGAAAGCTTTGTAATCTGGTCCAGAAACGTATTATTTAGGTCCTTTACTTAGTTTGGTAATATACAATATATTTCCAAAATAAGTTTCCCCAGATTTTTGCCGTTACCCATTCTTTTATTCTTACCCAAATGCTCTTAATTGGACCCTCATGCTCAGATTTCTGAATCTCTCTATATGCATTAATGTATAACACAGTATTAGAACAGACGCTTCAGTCCCTTAATGGAGAGTTACCTTCACCCATCTCTTCTTCATCTTCAGGACAAAAAGAAGCATCAAAATATAAGGACACTTCTTTAATAGGCCTGGAACTCTGTGCAACATTTTTCAATCTCTCCATACCATTCACTCAGTTTTCTTCAATCTTCTGGGAGGTTTGTCCACTTTCTGTCTCTAAGTCGGGAGATTTCCATATGATTGAAGAATTCCTATCTTCTCTAATTAGACAGTTGGGATGGGGTGGACAGTCAAGTTTTTCTCTGACTACTTAATCTGTACAACATCTTTTCAATCCCACTTTATCTATATCTATCTATCTATCTATCTATCTATCTATCTATCTATCTATCTATATATATATATATATATATATATATATAT